GCCGCGCCGCCGCCGCCGCTGACGCCCCGCTCAGTTGCAGCTCAGGGCGCCGCTCACCGTGGCCTTCGCCCCCGCGTCGCCGCCGCGGGACCTGCCCGCGCCGCTGCCCTTCAGCGAGACGCGGGAGCAGGAGACGCGTCTGAACCGTAAGCGCCACCCTGGCCGCGCTGCCCGCCGCGGGGCAGCGCGGAGCCTCCGCCGGGAGCCCCGGGCACGGTGCCCGCCTCGGCTCCCCGGCCCCTCTTTGCCCTCCCGTAGCGCTCACCAGCATCACGTCGCGCTACGAGATGCTCTATCGCAGCACCACGGCGCGCGAGGAGGCCGCCCTGCAGGCAGCGACGCCCCGAGGTACCAGCGGAGCCGCCTCTGCTGCTCCCGGCGCCCCAACGTGCCCGGGGGCCCCTGCTCCGGAGCGGGGCTCGCTGCCCCACTGATACCCCCGTCATCCACAGAGGCTGATGCTGCCCTGCGCCTGCTGCAGGACACCCCGCTCGGCGCTCTGACCATCTACGTGCTCCCTGAAAGCTCCTCGCTGCTCCCTCAGGTAACGCCTTCCCTGTGGGGTGATGGGGCACCCTTGGGTGCCGCTCTCCGTGTGCTGTCGGTGCCGCCGCTTTGGGGCGAGGGGAGTCCCACATTGGTTAGGGTGGGCGCCTGCCCGGGAGGGAAGGACCCTGCCCGGGTCCTTTGTGCTTCCTGTGTGCCTGGGTTGTGACCTGGGCTCTGCGATGGTGAGAGCTTTGCTGGGAATGCTCAGAGTCTCCAGGGAGAAAAAGGGACTTTGGGGGACGTGTCCTGCTTTGAGGAGGGAGGTGGCGCTTCCTGCAGGCCTCCCGAGATCTGAGATCCTGAGATCCCCGGCGCTGTCAGGGGCGGCACGGGGCACTCGCACGGGGTGAGGAGCCCCGGCCCTCACCGCTGCCCCCTCGCAGGGCGTCCACGTGTACGTGGGGCGGCACCGCAGCGCGCTGGTGAGGGCGGCGCCGGCGCTGGCCGCGCTGCGCGCCCGCCTGCAGCAGCTCGCGCACCTCGTGTCCTTCACGGGCGCCTCCGTCTCCGCGGCGCTCTCGGACCGCCTGCCCGCCAGCCAGCTCGGCCCCGACGCCGGGCGGCACTTCAAGTCCAGCCTAGGTACGTGCACCCCGTACCAGGGGAACGGCAGCTCCATCCGGGAGCGGGACGCCTTCCTGTCCCGCTGGAGGCATCCCTACGTGTCACCGCGCCGTGGGGCATCCCCCAGCCCGTGGCTCTGTGCCCGGATGTGTGCTGCAGTCGGGGCCTGATGCAGGGCCTGGGAGCGTGGCCGAGGAGAAGGGCTGAGCCCCCTTGGCTCTGCGGAGCTCCGCGCCGGTGCCGTTCCCGGCCGTGGAGCTGCTGGTCAGGTTGTGGTGCCGGGGCCTCACGGGCTGTGGGTGCTCGCAGGGTACGAGATCACCTTCAGCCTGCTGAACCCCGACCCCAAGGGCCACGACGTGCACTGGGACATCGAGGACGCCGTGGGCCGCTACGTGCAGCCCCTCCTGGACAAACTGAGCTTCATGGCCAACTTCTCCATCGCCTCTCAGGTGAGGGCCGGCAGGTGCCACGCGGAGGGCCTAGCCCCGGGTGCCCCGACTTGCAGGTCTCGGCAGCTCCGCGTCTGCGTCCCCGCAGATCCTGTACTACGCCGTGCTCGGCGTGACGCCGCGCTTCGACAAGAACTCCTCCAGCTTCCTGCTGAGCGCGCACAGCCTCCCACACGTCATCAACCCCGTGGAGGCCAGGCTGGGTGAGCGCTGTGCCCCGGCGCCCGGCGGGTCCCCGTGGGCCGGGGAAGGGCCTCGACTGTCGCTCTCGCTGCAGGCTCCAGCGCTGCCTCCCTGCACCCCGTGCTGAACTTCCTGCTGTACGTGCCGGAGCGCTCCCACTCCCCTCTCTATATCCAGGACAAGGAGGGAGCCCTGGTGGGCACCAACGCCTTCCACAGCCCGCGCTGGGGCGGCATCATGGTATGGCGCGGGTGGCTGCCGTCTCTCTGAGCCGGCGCCGGCAGCACCGCCGGCCTCATGGGCTCTCTTGTAGGTCTACAACGTGGAGGGCTCTGCTGCTCCCCAGGCCTCGCTCCCGCTGCGCGTGAACGTGGACATGGTGCGAGTGATGGAGGTCTTCCTGGCGCAGCTCCGGTGAGGATGCGTTGTTCCCTCCCTAGGCCTGTCTATGCTCTCCCTCTGGAGCATGTGTGCGCTGGGGCAGCCTGTCCCTGGGCTCAGCAGCTCCCTTGGTCCACTCTGGAGCTTGGGGTGGCTTCTCGTGGCCTCTGAGGTGCTGACCATCAGCCAGTACCCCTCCCTGAGTTGGGATCATAGAATCCTTAAGGTTGGAAGGGACCCTTAGAAATCATCTAGTCCACCCGCTCTGAACACCCAGGGTCACCTAGACCCTCCCGGGATATTGGCCCAGATGGGGAGCTCATCTGGGTATAGGGAGCTCTCTTGGTACGGGGAGCTCATCTGGGCCTGCCCCATGTGCCCCAGGATGTGCAGCCTGTCCTGGGCTGAGTCCCGCCAGGGCTGAACACCCTGGAAAAGGGGAGGACCAGGGAGTGTAGGCAGGACTGTGGGGCTGTGACACCTGCTCGGGCCTTCTCCCATGACGCTGGGACCTTCTCCTGTGCTCACAGGTTGCTGTTTGGGATTTCCCGGGAGGTGCTGCCCCCAGAGTTCCTGCTGGAGAGCCCAGGCAATGAGGGAGTGGCTGACTGGGAGCTGGATCGCCTGCTCTGGGCCCGCACTGTGGAGAACATTGCCACCGTTTCCACCACCTTGACCTCGCTGGCCCAGCTGCTGGACAAAATTGGGAACATTGTCATCAAAGACGACGTTGCCTCTGAGGTAGGTGTTTGGGCAGCCCGAGCTGGGGGCTGGTGGGGGGTGGCAGTCACCGTCCTTGCGCTGCTGCTGCTGGGACGCTGCCCAGGCCTGTGGGTGAGCAAGGACCTCCAGGCTTGTGTCCATGTGGCCTGGTGGCTCCACCATCACCCTGTCCTAGGGGACAACGTGTGCTCTTCCCATTGTAGGTGTACCGAGCAGTGGACGCAGTGCAAAGCGCCATGGAAGAGCTGGCCCGGGGCCACCTCCGCTCAGCCTTCCAGGCCAGCAAGGAGGCTGTCACCTCCTCGGAGCAGGCCTTCTTTGACCCGTCCCTCCTCCACCTCCTCTACTTCCCTGATGACCAGAAATTCGCCATCTACATCCCGCTCTTCCTGCCCATGGCCGTGCCCATCCTCCTGTCCCTGGGCAAGATGGTCCGCGAGGCCAGGCAGCGCAAGAAGGATCCCACCAAGACGGACTGAGCCCGTGGGACCCTGTCCTGCGTCGGGGCTGCTCCAGCCCCATGGAGCTTGTTGTCGCGGACTCATGGTGCAGGCGTGTGGAGCAGAGCTCAGCGTGGCTCTCTCGGGAGAAGAAGCTCTGGGAGGCTGGGGAGAGGACACTGGGCTCCTGCCCCCTCCACGGGCTCCTGCTGCTTCTGCCTCGGGCTCCCCCGCAGGCGCCGGGGCCCCCCGCATGCCCAAAAGGGAGACCCTGACCAGGCTGGGCCTGGTGTGAGGCTGTGCGAACCTCCGTCCTGCCCCCGGGGGCTGAGGACTGGCTTAGCTTGGTGCTCCTGTGTCCTCCCCTGGGTGCTGGGGTGGGGGGCAGCTCCTGATTTAGGGGCTGCAGCTCCTCGTAGATAATTCAGCCCACGACAGGGGGTGGTGGTTATGGGGCCTCTTGGCCCCTGCACTGTTAGGGGTGTTCACAGAGTCACAGAATGGTTGAGAGAGCTAGAGATACTCTAATCCAACTGCAGCAGGGCCAGCCAGAGCATGGGCCCAGGGTCACATCCAGGAGGGTTCTGAAGATCTCCAGCAAAGGAGACTCCACAGCCTCTCTGGGCAGCCTGGTCCAGGTGTCACACTCACAATAAAGAAGTTCTAACTTGTCTCGGAATGAATCTTGTGTTTCCATTTGTACTCATTCCCTGTTACCCTCTCCTAGCCCTCAGGGAGAAGAGTTTGGCCCCCTCCTCTTTACATCCTCCCCTCGGGTCTTTGTCAATGTTGACCAGATCCCCCCCCCTGCTCGCTCCCCCTTTCCCCATGGATGCTCCAGCCCCTTCATCCTCGTGGTAGCTCCAGGGTCTTTGTGTTGGGCTCCCGGAGGAGGGTCCTGCTGTGTGGGCAGAGCTGGGGTGGGGGGTCTGGGTTTGGGGGGTGACCTGCTAGGGGCAGTCGAGGGTCCCTCGTGCCCCTGTC